CCAATATTGATGAATTCTAAATCTCCATATCTGCAAAGTCTAACATTAGTTCTATTAGATTTAAGAAATTGCTAAAATTACTAACATTTGGCTTTGTACCTAAAAACACAACAGTTTCATATGATTTGGCCTAATTTAAGCAGCACTTGTGGCAAGAACTATTTTTCTCTCACCTTCTGTCTGATCCTCAGATCAGGGTTTTGGAATACAGGCATGAGGACAGTCACCATCTGGGAGTAGTGGTTTAAAGTCCTTAAAATCTGATGTGCCAAGCTAAACCCTTAAGCTCCCACCATTTTCTAAGGATATTAAGTAAGATATAGCTACAAGCTGCCATAATAGGGACTCCAAATGCCATGGCACAAACAGGAAAATTCTTGCTTGTGTAATAATCCAGGGCTGGCATGGCAGCACCTGTCAGGGACCTGGCCAATTCCTATTTTGTTGCTTCTCCCTCTCTAAGGTGTTGCCTATGTCCACGTGTTCCCAAAGGAATCCTCATGCCACGCAATAGAATGAGGGAGAGGAAAGACAAGGCCTCATCTTTCTTTAAGTACATGTCCCTGAATTTGTGTACCTCACTCTGGCAGGTTGCATCCACCAGCATTATTGTCACATGATCATACCTTGCTCCAGGGAAGCTGGGAAACGTAGTCTTCAGCTGGGTGGGTGTGTTGCCCAGGTAAAATTTTTACTAACTCAGTAAATGAAGGCAAACAGGTGTTTGGAAACTAGTGTTCAGAGGGAAGTAAAGGATAACTTCTGTGATATTTGGACCATCCTGGTTAAAGTGTGACTTAAAGCGCCCAAGACTGTGTAAGACATTTCTGCGAGTTCATAGAGGTTGAGGATGAGAGTGACAGGTTAGAGCACCCTCCGCCAACCCCTGTCATAGGCGGCTCTGCTGGGTTCTACCTAACAGCTGTTCCCAGCTTCTCCTCAAGGGCAAAAGCCTGATTCTAGTCATCTTTTCCAAGCAACTTTGTTTTGTGTGGTTTCCTTTGCAGGCCCCATAATGAGTCTTAAGTGATCTTTCCAACTTTCTTTCTTTCTTTTTTTTTTTTTTTTTACCCATAGGAGGAATTACATTTTATAACCCATGCACACACATATAACTTGATCTTATGTTTAATACAGTCTGATAGTAAATGTCATTTTTTAAAAATGTTGCTCAACATATACTACATTGATTACCATCCCATTAATTGGTGCAAACTTCAGTTTGGAAAATGAATCTTAAAAAAATAAATCTTAAGATTTATCTATTTGTGTATGCAAGAACTGAGGTATAGGTCAGAGGTGCTGGGGGTGAGAGGATTCACCAGATATAGAGAGGGGAGCAGAACAGGCAGATCAATGAAATACACTGCTGAGAGGAATAGTGGGCGAGACAGGAGAGGTCTGCTGGGCCATGTGGGTCAGCAACCTGGCTGGGAATTGAGCTCGTGCTGCAGTGGCTGCTGAGAGCTTCATAGTGCTATGCTTTAACCCCCTGTGCCACCAGGGAGGCCCCTGGGAGGCAAAATCTATAATTCAGTTAAATTGTTCTCATTCACTTTGGTTAGGCATGCAACACAAGTTGTATCTGAATTTTTTAATTCATGCAAACTTTTAAGAAGATCTAATAATGAGTTTTTAAAGATATAATGATAGACTTTTTCTAGTACACCTGCTTCACTTTCATCTAACACTGTTAGGACTATAACTGTTGTCATGGTATATTTGACTGTCCTCTACTGAAAAAAGCAGAGTTTCTAGTTCTGTAAAATTAATCTGTAGGAGTTGACAAGGTGTTGCTTTTGTATAACCTTGAAGATTTAATCCCAAAGCATTATTATTATTTGTACTGTGGAATGGTAAATCCATTTCATATCTAATCTAGTTATTGTTTTCATTTATATATGTATTTCATTCATATATACTTCATATACATATATATGTGTATGTGTATATAGCTATATCTATATATCTATATCTATATCTATCTATCTATCTATCTATCTATCTATCTATCTATCTATCTATCTATCTATATTTCTTTCCAGGAAACTCAGAGAACCCAGAAGTGGTGGGGGAAAGGGACTGATACGCCTGAGGCAAAGGTGAGTGAGAGTGGTAAGCCTCTGTCTATCCTCAAAAGACTCTTATGACTAATATATGATAACCCTTTTGGAGTAGCTAACACTACATGTAAATAAAAGATTAATTTTGAACACTAATGCTCAGGGAATCTTTTTTTTCTTTGTATTTTTTCTAGTCCTCTCTTTTTAAATAAAACCTTTATATGTGCATACTGTTCATTTGGATGAGAAGTTTCTGTTTTGGACATTACCTGTGGCATCCAGCACTATGCAGCCATTTTGTGGCTATGAGTGGAGTCAAGCAGAGAGAACAACAAGCTGAACATAGCAGAGAAGAAAGATGGAAAAGATCCAGGGTCATTGAAAAATTAACCAACCCTAGACACCACATCTGGCCTCCTGTTATGTAAGAGAGTAAATGTTCTTTTAGTAAAGTTTTCTGCATTTTGCAGCCCAATACTTCCTTTGCTGTATATCTCTTGTGGCAGCTCATTTTAATAAAACATTTAGAAAATTTCTTTTAAAGATTTATTTATTTATTCATACAGAACTGGGGTACAGGCCAGAGATGCGGAGGGTGAGAGGATTCACCAGAGACAGAGTGGGGTAAAGAAAGTCAGATCGACAAAGTACACTGCTGAGGGGAGCAGCGGGCGGGTCAGGAGAGGTCTGCCGCACCATGTGGTCACCTCCGGGGCAGGCGGGGATCGAACTCATGCAGAAGTGGCCCAAGCCTCTTTGTGCTGTGCTTTAACCTGCTGCGCCACCAGGGAGGGCCCCATTTAGAAATTTTGCTGGGGTAATGTCAAATATGGTGGTGGCTGTGGTGTGCGAAGCAGTAGAATGATTGCTGAGCTCACTAATTTTAGAGATCCTCTCTTCCCAGCGAAGGTCCCTGCTATAATGATACCATATTCTGTGCATTCAATTCTGTTTACTTGTTTGTAAATTGTAATTTTAAATTACTTCCAGGGACTTACAAAAGCTTTCATTTTTGTTTAAATATGTAACTGTTAGATTTCAAATCATTCTTTTCATGTTAAACTGTAGTCAGTTGTTTTCAAATTTTTATTCTTTTTTTTCCCTTGCTACATTCATCAGTGGCTTTAGTTTTTGTGACCTTGTGAGGATCAGACTAAATGAAGATCAACACTTGACTCCTCACTCCCCACACATATCCAAAGGGCTCAGTTGGAGACCCTGAGAATAAAATCTTTGGAGCTCTCTATTGTGTATGAGCGAGAACGTTTTAGCTGCCATAACAGACTCAGTGACCCCAGAGACCACAAGAAAGGGTAACGCCCTCGCAGATTCTCTTTTCAGAGGCTAAACTTTCTTTTCTTTTTGAAAGATTTTATTTATTTTTGCATAGAACTGGGATACAAGCCAGAGGTGCAGGGCATAAGAGGATTCCCCAGAGACAGAGTGGGGACCAGAACAGGCGATTGACTGAAATACACTGCTGAGGGGAGCAGCAGGTGAGACAGCAGAGATTTGCTGCGCCATGTGGGTCAGCTGGGGAACTCAGGCCTTCACAGTGGGTAGTCTTGGTGATAGGGCTAAGACTTAACCTCTAGGCCACTAGAGGAACCCACAAAACTTTCTTGACTGATAGCTTATCACCTGGACAAAGCTGTTTGTGCTAAGAGCCCAGGAGCACCCCGAAATTTAAAAAGGGTGATGAGCAGGCCAGAGTCAGGACTCCCCCAATACCTAGCTTGTGTGTAGATTCCTTGCTTCCCAAATAAAGAGAACACTGGGAGAAACCCAGTAACTTTTTCCACTGAGTTAGTGGAGATCAGTTTTTTGAACTGTGTCAGATCAGTTAACTGCCGAGCGTGGCTTACATCTCTTTTATTGTGAACGATAAAGCACCCGCAGACCTGCCCAGGTGCCTCTGCTTCAGCGGTGGGGCATGGAGCTCCAGTCTCCACTGCAACAAAAGTCCAACCAGGTCCTCTGCAAGTTATCAGGTCACCCCAAGACACCCCTTAGTTTTATGGCAGCAGGTTTCAAGCAGACAGGGTCAAAGCGAGCATGCCAACAAGATTGTCTTGAGCTCAGTTCTACTCCAATATTAGGTTAATGGTGTCTGTTTGGTGGTTTTCCTCCTCACAGAAAGGGAAAGAAACAGTTTTGTGAACGGTCATTCTCCTGCTCTTACTCATGTGATGGTCCATTTAGTCCCCATGAAACCCTTTTCATTGAGAGCAGTTAAAATGAGTGAAGTAACATTGGTTTGTAACTATATAGGTTTCAGACTTAAACATCTGTGTATGTTACCTTACTGATTACCCAAAAGGAAACCCTTTGTGAAGTCAGGATTATGTCTCCCATTTTGTAGCACAAAACCTGAGTTTGAGAGAGATTTAATCACTTGCTTATGGAAGTGGGGTCTGAACCCACATCTTTGTGTTTCCTTAAATTCCATGTTCTGTTAGTATACATTACCTACTAAAATCGACAATGTCCTTAAAAACAGAAAAGAGGAGCCTGCCTTCCTGATGGCACAGGGGATAAGTTTCACTGCCATCAAGCTATCGTCAGCCACTGTAGCTAGCTATTGCCAGACTATGGCATGCGTTCGGTCTCTGGCCAGGAAGCTGACCCACATGGCACAGCAGACCTCTCCTGACCCACTTGCTGTTCCCCTCATCATTGCATTTCAGTAGATCTGCCTGTTCTGCTCCTCACTGTCTTTGGTGAATCCTCTCAGCCTCTGCATCTCTGGCCTACCCCCAGTTTTTAGATGCGTAAATTAAAAAAAAAAAAAGCAAAACTAAATCATTTAAAAAAAAAATGGATGTGAGATAACCAGGTTGGGAAAGCTAAAAGACCATAGAGCTCTGACTCCCAGAGATCAGGCATGTCATACAATTTTTTGTGACAATATTAGTCATGGTCTTCA